TATATATATATATCTTGTTTACATTAGTTTTTTAATTAAAAAGTTTTTCGGGAAAAATTAAGATTTTGCCGTTTTTGCTACTTTTGAATTTAAAAGAAACAATATTTTGAATGATCTACATCATATAAGTTTTTGTTCAAAGATCCATTCTAATCAATTTAAATATCAAATTAGAAAAAATGTAGAATTTATATATAATGTGACATTTCGTAACATATGCGAGTAAAAGCGATTGAGAAAAAAGCGATTTAAGAACCTAAGCGATTAAGGAAAAAGAGAAAAATGTGTACAGGTACCTGGTATATTGAATCTTTCACTCTTCTTAAAATATGGTAAAACGTCCGTGTAAGACCAGCCCACGTTGCCCAAACTGGCCCATTTGTCATAATCAAACTTATTTCCTCGTGTATGGATCATATAGTTCAAAGTACTCGTGCCGCCCAAACTCCTACCTCGTGGCCAGGAGCATTGATGATTTATCATCCCCAGACAGGCATTTTTCTGGGGTTCCGTGTTGTAACCCCAATTATAATTGGTTAATTGGAAGTAACTAACCATTATCGGAATCTGATTAAGCAGATTTTGCGCGTATCCTGCTTCCAGTAATAGAACTCTCCATCTCTTGTTTTCCGATAGACGATTGGCCAATACGGAACCTGCCGATCCTGCTCCTACGATGATAAAATCATATCTAGTGTTGCTTGTAAATCCGTAATCTTTTCCAACTGAATAGACATTTTTGAGATCCAAGAAAATATGAGCGCTACCAGTTGTTATGATAATGATGAATGGCCATAAATTCTTCATACTGTATAAAGTCCTGTAAAACTGAAATTTTTAAATGCACTATGCAACAAAATAATTTATGATGTGAATTGTATTACATAAATATTGCGTAAATGTTTCTTCTCACATTGTGCTTTCCCTAACAATAGAAAAATTATATTATCATGTTTCCAAATGATATACGGACAATTTTTCATCATAATGATCATATAATACATATAATATATGTATATAATACATGTTGCAAAATGATGTTTCGACACTCACACATACACACACACACACACACACACACACACACACACACACACACACACAC